TATTAAATGAATAAGTGTATTAAGTTAAAAAATCACTTTGCCTGTAGGCCTTAAACCACAAAGAAACTGCAGGAAATCTAAGTACAATACATTGTAGATTTTATATACAAGGCTTTATGAAAATTTTCATCTATTTACCTTGAAAATATAGATCATGTCAGTTGAATTTTTTATTTGAATTTGCCTGTGAACACATCCCTGTATCTGTTTTAAATATTTACACGTATGTCATTATGTCAGAAATTGTAATCGATATAGCTAGCTTTATTGCAAATGCTGAAATATATTTGCGGTATAATGATCACTAGGATTGGAGTGAAACTTATTTCTTTTTTCCAGATTTATTTTCAAACAGCTATGTTTGTATCCCAACATGTGCGAATCTCTTCAAACTATAAAAATTTGACTGTGAAGACTGAACGAGATAGCATCATTTCATCTTACTGATATTTCAACATAATAAGGCCACACCATCTGGTAAAAGGGGAACTTCAAGTGTGATCAGCTGTGAGCAATAATTGTATAACATGCTACAAATTTCGTAGTGAAGAAGTGCTTAATATACCACATCAAAAAGCTTCGGCTTTGACCTGTATTCCTGGTCTTCATTACGTTTAACTTCAATGCACGAGAAGTTATGTTACATTGGTATTCACACCAAGTATATATAGGAGGTTCTGCTTATTTACACATGGTAAAAAGGTATCAAACCCCGAATTTAATGACTGACAAACATAAAAAATGTAGAGAAGATCAACAGTTATCTTATATCTAATTAAAACCGGACCAACCTCTCCATGTAATCTATGTGTATACCCCATCAGTATGTACATCTACACCAAACAAATGCACCATTTTTACATGTGTATGTACCATTAGGTAAAACAATAATAAACCAGCACCAAATTTAAAAACATAATCGACATGGACAAACAGACCAACAAACTAAAGAAGGGCACTGTACCATCCCACTGAGCTCACAAGAACTTTAATTGTGCTAGGTGAGCTCATATTGGTATACATGTATGTATACATGATTGTGTATGTTCTATGTCAATTATTAAGCTCCATGCAATTTATACATGAAAACAGGGATTTCATAATCAGCTGTTGATCAAAATTGAGCGCTGTGAATTAGCGTGAAAAGTACTAAATATGTCAGATTACCACTAAAAAAATACCTAGTTTCTGTGTCATTGTGGACAAGCGCAGTGTAAATGTGGCATTCCGAAAATACCAGATGTAGCGCCCTGTAGGTTCGGTGATATGCTGAAAACATATATATGCATACATATCCTTTGGATTTTGAAGACGGGGATGGGTTTGATAATCAACCCTAAGGTTATAGAGAAGAAAGAAATGATATATATTAGTTTAGGTATAATACTGCCTTTTTAAAACATTAAAGAGACAGATGTACAAAACTGACCTGATATAACAGTGTAAGGTCAGTCTACATCTGTCAAGCCTCCAGCCTCAGTACCTCATCCCGTAAATATATCCTAGCTAGTATCTACATTATCTAGGTTCTCTCTCCCTAGCCCACAGATGAATCTATAATCCCCATCCTCTTCACTTATCTTATCACATAAATATTATTTTTAGTTGTGTTTATCTCTCTTAGCAGATCCTTGAGTGTGTATTTATTTATTTACTGTTAAACATAAAAGTCTGGAACTAAGTCTTAAAATCTAGTAATATGAAACTCAGAGCACTGCTAGTATTAATACCTAAACCACCACATGGCCACTGATCATGACCTCCAGATTTGACCTCCAAATTTGCAAATTCCCCCATGCATGATTGCCTAAACTACAATACACTGTACTAACCTGGTAATTGATTGTATACAATTATTTGTGGAACCAAATGAATATTGTGCAACAGTATCATGAAAGTTGCTACATTCATTTGTATCAAGTTACAAAGGCTTAGTGCTATTTATAAGTATCCGAAATATGAAACTGTTCAACACTTGGTGAAGTTGGATTGTTTTCCAAAACTCATTATGCTTTGATGTTGTATGCTCTCAAAATACCAATAATTTTCTAGTTTTGTGTAATGACTGCAACTGGAAAGACAATTGCCCCCATGGAGAAGTCGAAACTCACAGAGTTGAGTCATGTACCCCTGATTTATTCATTGCCCTGATTAATATCCAATCAGCAAATACAGAAATTCAAAGAAATAAATTTCGTACAATAAGGAGGTGATACATCTGGTACATTTGTAGGTATACATCATCCTTGGAAGTTTATTGAAGCTTTATAATTCATATCACATCATATTTATGTATCACTATATCGTAATCTATCCGAGTTTTATGTGCATCACAATAATTATGTAGCACCAATGCAACTGAGTCACAACTCATATTACATTTAAATGTACTGTGACCTTTCAGGTATATATATATATCATAACATACCAAATTTAACATTTCAATGTCAATTTACAAAAACTATATGTCACTGGTTTTTAACTCCAACAGTAGCCCAGGCCAGCTGCCTGAGACTGCCCAGAAACTGACTGGGCGGCCTGCATTCCCGAAGATGGCAAACTGACAGTCTGCAGGGCTACCTTTAAAGTTTCCTCACAGTCATTCAAGGTACCCAGCGACTTCTGTAGGATTTATCACGCAGGTCCTGAAAATCATTTTCAAAAATTGCAAGTCCCATATATCGTAAAGACATAGTGGGCTCTCAAATGTTGTACTACAGAATGGCACAGGAAAAACTTGAGTCCAGGATTCAATCAACTGTGTCCCAAAAATCACTGTATGTAAAAGTTACCATATTTTTCCTGTAATAAGCACAAGGGCACATGGAAAATTGACTATTGAAGGGAGGCGTTTATTAAAACAAAACGTAGGTAATAGCAGTTGTGGTAAAGGTGACATAACTGTTGGATACATATTCCAAAGAAGAATTCCAAGTTTTTGCTCTTTTCTTTTCTAAAACACTGGAAAGCAGTCAAATTTTGACACTGTAGTGTCTGATATATGTATATATAGAATCTTACATGAGTTTCCATTTCATATGAGATTTATGAAACGAGCCAAAGAATTTTTCAATTTAGGGAGCCTCTAGCTAGCTAAAATGAAAAATTTGTGACGAGTTTCATAAATTTCATATGAAATGAAAACGAATACAAGATCCTTTTAATCACATAATCAAGATTTGTGGCATTTATTCGTGTAAAACGACAATTTTCAGGCAACCTTGAAATGTTAAAAGCCGCCGTTTTGATTCTAGTGCGTAAGTTTGTGACAGCATGTACTTGTCCTAGGCGTGACATCACAATTGAAACAATTGAAACTTACAACCAATCACTGGGCTGATAGGTCATATTACATGAGTGAATACGCAATAGTGTCAAACAGCTGTGATCATGATCATGAACTGTAACAGAGGCTGGCTACATTTATAAACACATTCCATTAGCTAGGTTATCAATTTCTATTTCTATGACATCATGAGATGAAACAGTGCAAATATGTCTCACTAGACATGTCATGCAGTACAGAATTAGTAAAACTTTTAATCCTATGATATAGGCCTAAGTGTCAGTCCTGAATTCAGAGTCCTTGACATTTACTAGACATTCCTAGACCTCCTACCGTGACCAGGAATCAGAACAAGTTTTCTGACCTTTAGCATGACCAGATGAATCTGTATTGTAAAGATCCCAGCATGTGGTCAGTTAATTCATTCTTCACTTCTCAATAGTTAAGTATAACAGGTACACGTCTCTAGTAGCTCTTGTAGTAAAGGAACACAAGCAAGAACCTTGTTCATCAATGACAATCCATATCTGTATACCAAATATGTAGGTCAGAAACAGGTTAACAATCAACAACCAAACTAACCCCTTCCTTTTCAACATAAGCAGACCAATCTATATATATTACAGAGAACTCAGTCGACCCCTGAGTTTTAACAATAATGTTTCAACCCAACCTGTGTAATTGGTTTGTTTATTTTTCTTACATGCAAAGCCTGAACATCAACAGACATCTTGAACATTTCTCTGAACTCTTTCAATCTGAATTAGTAAAACTTGTTTTACTTGGAAGAAAAAAATGATAACATGGAAATGAACATTTTCTTTTCATACGTTAATTATGGATTTTAAATGTTTTCATTATATTCAATCAAACATTCCAAAACAATCTTGTATGTTCACAGAATTGTTCATCATTCATATATTAAAATTGTGAATTAGTATTGACTGCTCTTACATGCATTCTTGTTATCCAGTAAAATTTAAACTCAAATACTTGCACTTTGATTCTAAAATATGATCAAAAGAACAAAATTCAAAACCTTTCACATTTCGGAACATAAAGTTAGAAAATGACAACTGAATAAATTAAATAACAATTTACTCTTGCATAATCTTTGTTTTGTAATTAAATTTACTTCATAAATAAAACAATACTCTGAAGCATACAGCAGATATATGTTACAAATTAAGGCCTACAGCAATATTTAAATAGCTTAGATTAAACATTGAATCAATACAGTAATGATTTTCTGAGCAACAACTGTTATTTATAAATTTAAATGCATGAGTATGTTCCATCGAATTGATGTGAAGAATTAATCTGCCATCCATATTATCAATAGAGCGTGTACCGACATTGAGAATCCGTACAACATAAAAACACAGTCTGTTCACTGGTTCATTCCGTAATATGATCATCTTATTATAATCTGTTTCAACATTATGATAAACGTGGATAAATTATAAACGTTTACATAATTCATTTAACTGTCACCTCAGACGATAACAGCTGACCATGACATAGCGACACGCACAGTTTACAGCGAATGAATGAATTATCACATCAACTTGGTAATTTAAGATTTTGTCCTCTCCATTTTTACTCTACAGATACAATGTCCATTTAACACACGTATTATTCATGATCGTACGAAGTGGCAGCTTACTCATCATTACACTGAAATAGCGGTTTTGTTTACAAACATGATACTTACAGTGAAAGCAGACGGCTAAATGTCAAACTGCAATACACACTGTCACAGCGTCTGAGCTTGAATTTGGGCGTGTGCTAAATTCAGACGGAAGACTTGCAGCGCCATCTATTGACAAAGCAAGGCAGGTAACTGAGTGGGCGTCGAGTTGCTATAACAGAAGTGACACACCCGTTTGTTTATTTAAATACCGGTATTTAAATACTTCTATAAGTAAACAGCATCGTTTAAATCAAACCATTCGTTGTATATTTTACATACTTGAGTTTTTGTTCCGACTGAACCACTTCTGGACCACAACATTGAGCTCGAGAGGTACAGCATAGATCTAACTTTTAAGCACATAAGTTAATTTCGAATTAATAATTAATAACTCAAGCTGATTTCAAATAACAAATAAAAATACTTTTTCATTATCGACTGAAGCCCATCACATAGCTATGAAGCTAAACTAGTCAATATATATACCAGTTTAGAAAATACATGATTAAAATCAACTCGTCACATCAGAGACGAATTCCGTGGTCACATATAACATCTAATTACGTGATTTCACAAATATTTAAACCAATATCCCACATAAAATCAGAGACATATACGTCTTTGATATAATCGAAGATAGTTTCATCATATTATCTTGCGATATTTTAAAAGATACCTATAAAAAAAAGACCAATAATTAAGGCAAGTCATTTTAGGCAAAGATAACATTTTTTATTTATTTGTTTCCTACCATGCATTGTTTTTAATATTAGTAATAATAATATACAACATTTGATATAACGCCCTATCTAGCTAACATAAGCCACTCTAAAGCGCTTTACATTACATAGATATACAGTTAATACAATTATGATGTACAATTTTTGAAGAATTCGCAGGAGCTGCCTTATCAGGCGCTAATAACTACTAGTCTTATGCCACCTGGCTAATATCTCCCTCTGTGTGTATGCCTGCGTGTGTGCTGGAGATGTATTGATATCAGACTATAAAAAAACACGCCAGTTTAGGTTAACTTAATAAGCTATAATATGCTCATCAGATTTTTATAGAAAATTTAAGAAATAGCACGCCCCTTTTCAGTGAAAGACAATGATTATCGTGTTTCTTTCTGTCATATGAAAAGGTCGTGGATTTGAATGAAATGAATATTTATATTATCTGATAATCAAGTGATATGCATAGAAAACAATAATGAAAGATTTCGAAATGTAATGAAATATATGTAAAATACAGCATTACGTTTGATGCTTAATATTTCTTAATTTCAATTTTGAGACTGTTTGTTGTTGTTTTTCTATCAAAAGTTATGAACGGACAAAGAACAGGCCTACTGTATCTCAATGTCCTTCGTGAGAGGCGACTCCAGTTGGATCTCCTGCTGAATCAGGGATTTCCCTCTGTGACGCCGTCTTCGTCAGTAGGGGCTTTCGAAGAAACCAAAATACATCTGCTACCTACACCCCATGCAACAGTTGGGATCTAAACACAATCCTAGGTATTTTTACAGAAAGTTTGCTAAGAAAAAGGTGATTTGCCATTACTGACAGGCGAGCAACTATATGATCATTTTAAAAATGTGTCAAATGTACAAAACGATGATGACTCAATTCAATAGGACAACATTTTCATTGATAAAGATATTGTGTATGATGAACTAGATGCACCGATTCTTTTTCATGAAGTGAGATCTGCTGTTCGAAATTTGAAATGTGGCAAAGCGCATGGACTGGATGGTTTGTTCAATGAATGCTTTATTAACTGTGAAGAATTACTCCTTCCCAATTTGTGTATGTTGTTGAGCAATATTTTAGAAGCCGGGTGTTTTCCTGCAAATTGGTCATCTGCTATTATTATTCCTGTTGATACAAAAATGTACACGTAATGACCCTAACAACTTTCGAGGCATCAGTTAAATAAGCTGTCTTAGTAAACTTTTTTCTTCTATACTTAATAAACGTTTTTTAGATGTTTGTACAAAATATGATATTTTAACAGATGCTCAATTCGGATTTTGTCCGGAAGTGAGTACGATAGATGCTATATTTGCATCACATACTGTTATCACAAAAACATTGTCATCTAGGAAAAGATTGTACTGTTGTTTTGTAGATTTTCGCAAAGCGTTTGATTTTGTCGACAGGTTAAGCTTATGGCGCAAGTTGACTAGGCTTGGTATTCGAGGGAAAATGTTGTCTGTTATTAAGTCGCTTTATAAATCAGTCAAATCCTGTGTTTCAATTAATGGGAAATGCTCTAACCTTTTTTGAAAACAATGTCGGTTTATTGCAAGGGGAAATTGTGTCAACATTACTGTTTTCACTTTTTATCAATGATTTTGAAATGTCCTTTATTGAAAACGGTGCAACATATTACGACTTGGGTGAGTTAAGTTTTTTTCTGTAAATGTACGCAGACGGTTTGGTTATTTTTTCGGAATCTGTACAGGGCCTGCAGACTCTTCTTGATAGCCTTTTTGAATACTCTACAAAATGGAATTTAACTGTGAATGTGGAAAAAACAAAAATTGAAGTTTTTAGAAAAGGTGGAAGATAATATAATGATGAAAAATGGTATTACAAAGGAAGTAAAGTCGAATGTGTGGATCAATTTCCTTACCTAGGTGTTATTCTAAATTACAATAATAAATTCACTTCTATCCAAAAACAATAAGCTATCCAAGGACGAAAAGCTGTTTGCATTATTTTCAAAGTGTTCATCATTCAACTTAAATGTAAAAACTATGCTACACCTTTTCGATACGTATGTAAGTAATATCCTTTGTGTATGCAAATGAAATTTATTGTATGCACAAAGTTCCAGAGATTGAATATGTACGTTTACATTTTTTGTAAGAAATTACTGAAAGTGAAGAAATCGGCCAATAACAATATGGTATATCTTGAATTGGGAAGATTACCTCTAGTTTGGATGAGAAAAATTAAAATATTAGAATGGTGAAATATTGGTTTAAGATCTTAAAATCTGAAAATTGTATCAATACACTTCCTATAGATTTTTTATTACAATGTTATAGTAAAAAGAATTTCAACTAGGCTAAAGCAGTAAGAGATGAATTAAATAATCTAGGTCTTAGTGATGTTTGGTTAAATCCATGTATTTCTCAGCAAAATGTGTTATTACCATTGATAAAATTGATAAAACAAAGAATTTTTGATCAAGGCATACAATCCCTAAGGGCCTCAATTGAAAACTCTCCAAAATGTTTATTGTATAAAAATATAATAGATTTTGGAGAATCATTAAAATTTTACCTCACAAAATATATACTAATGAAATATCACATTTGTTTAACTCGAATCCGTACATCTACAAATTGTTTGGCTGTAGAAGTTGGAAGGTATAACAATATACCTAGAGAACGTAGATATTGTAAACAGTGTAACTCCCTCTCTGAAGTAGAGGACAAATTTAATTTTTTATTAGTCTGTTCTTAATTCCAAAATCTCAGATCACATTTTATCAAAAGCTATTATTGGAAAAATCACATCTGTGTTTAAATTCGTTCAGTTATCGAGTGTCCATAATGTTAAAAAATTGTGTATACTAGGAAAATTCATCTATGAGGCAAACACATTAAGGGTATTATAATGGAATAGGATTGTCTTCATTCTCTGTAAATTGTCACTGATTTGTGTATAATATGTATTGTATACTGATGGGCCAATGGCCTAAAGTTCGAATAAAACTTGAAACTATTTAATATTTCCTCCCTTTCCTTTCGATGGCGTGTCCTCGTGTTTACAAGTAGACACCCGTCTTTATGTGATCCTGGCTGTTGCGAAGACGTTTAATCAAAAATCACAAAAGAACCAATCACAAGTTGTAAATATGATGTATACATTGTATCTTAGAGATGCTGTAATGGCGTCGATAAAGTGTTAATTTCACTTGTGCTAAATCATCTTGTCGGTGTTTTTGACCATATAAGTACAGGATTTAGGTGCCGCGTTTAACAGCAGATTTTAAAAAGAAGTAACTCACTTGACCCATTTGAGCCTCACTCTTCAGACTGTAGGTGTTGGTAAGGTCAGACTGTAGGTGTTGGTAAGGTCAGATTCTAGGTATTGGTAAGGTCAGACTTAAGGTGTTGGTAAGGTCAGACTGTAGGTGTTGGTAAGGTCAGACTATATGTGTTGGTAAGGTCAGACTGTATGTGCTGGTAAGGTCCGACTGTAGGTGTTGGAAAGGTCAGACTATAGGTGTTGTTAAGGTCAGACTATATGTGTTGGTAAGGTCAGACTGTATGTGTTTGTAAGGTCAGACTGTATGTGTTGGTAAGGTCAGACTGTATGTGTTGGAAAGGTCAGACTGTAGGTGTTGTTAAGGTCAGACTATATGTGTTGGTAAGGTCAGACTGTATGTGTTGGTAAGGTTAGACTGTAGGTGTTGATATGGTCGGACTGTATGTGTTGGTAAGGTCCGACTGTAGGTGTTGGAAAGGTCAGACTGTAGGTGTTGCTAAGGTCAGACTGTAGGTGTTGGTAAGGTCAGACTGTATGTGTTTGTAAGGTCAGACTGTATCTGTTGGTAAGGTCAGACTATATGTGTTGGTAAGGTCGGACTGTATGTGTTGGTAAGGTCCGACTGTAGGTGTTGGAAAGGTCAGACTGTAGGTGTTGCTAAGGTTCGACTGTAGGTGTTGGTAAGGTCCGACTGTAGGTGTTTGTAAGGTCAAACTGTAGGTGTGGTAAAATCAGATTTTAGGTGTTGGTAAGGTCCGACTGTAGGTGTTGGTAAGGTCAGACTCTTGAAGTTGGTAAGGTCAGACTCTAGGTGTTGTTAAGGTCAGACTATATGTGTTGGTAAGGTCAGACTGTAGGTGTTGGTAAGGTCAGACTGTAGTTGTTGGTAAAGTCATACTCTAGTTGTTGATAAGGTCAGACTGTAGGTGTTGATAAGGTCAGACTCTAGGTGTGGGTAAGGTCAGACTCTAGGTGTGGGTAAGGTCAGACTATAGGTGTTGATAAGGTCAGACTCTAGGTGTTGGTAAGGTCAGACTCTAGGTGTTGGTAAGGGTGGTCGTAATTACTTTCAAGTGTAAGTTATATCTATACCAAAGTAGACTAATATGCCAAAAAGAGTTA